GCACCGCCAAAAAAAAAAAAAAAGAAGGGTGGCCCTGACAGAGGGAAAAGTGGTCGGATTCCAGATGGATTGGACAGGGGGTGTGGGAGAAAGAGAAGGTCAACGGTGGCCCCAAGGCCATCCTCAGAAGGTTGGAGTTGCCTTCACCCAAAGAGCTTCGGGGTAGGGGCACGAGGAGTTTGATAGTGGAAAAGGGTCTCCTTTTCAAAAGCTACTTGCGTCATGCCTGGTCCATCCTTAACGTTTTCTCTCTTCCCCAGCCATATTAAGACTAAGAGCCCCAGCGTGGCCTACAAAAGGCTCTGCATTGGGTCCCTACCACTGCCCTGGCTTCACATTTGTACCAGACTTCCCTTTAGACTCGTTCTTTGGGCAACACTGGCCCCGCTTCACCTGCTTGAACATGGATGCTCTTTCCAGTCTCCAGTACAAGCAATTCCCCTGCCTGGAATAATGCCCAGCCACCCCGCATTCCCGCTGCCCGCATTTATCTCAGTTAAATCCTGTTCAAGCTTCAGATCTCAGCTTTGACACCATTAGCTTAAGGAAACCTCCAGGTCTCCCTGTATGCTCTCTCCTAGTGCTCTACATGTTTCCTGTAGTTACGTAATTGTAGGATTATTTGATTCATGGCCCTCTTCCCACTAGACTATAAAATCCCAGGGCGCTGGATTCACATGCTTTGCTCACCACTGTACCTCCAGTGCCTTACACAATATCTGCATATAGTAAGTACTTAGTAGATGTCTGTTGAATAAATGAATTTCAGTTTACCACCCGCCTAAAAGAAAATGGGTTTTACATTTACTTTTTTTTGGTCTTTGTATAATTCTAGTATAGGGAATACTGAACTGGAAAAAACACAAAGGAAATAATACATTATCATTTATAATAATTACTAGTATCCTTCAAAGTTCATTATGCTTATTACCAAGTCCAAAGTTGTACTGCTCGCCTCACAACAGGTCAGTAAATCAAGAGATGCGTTGTTAGGGCAAGGAATAGTGACTTTATTCAGAAAGCCAGCAGACCGAGAAGATGGTGGACTTGTATCCCAAAGAACCCTCTTGCCTGAGTTAGAATTTAGGCTTCTTTTATACTGAAAGGGGAGGGAGTAAAGTCAAACATTTCCTGGTTCCGGGTCAGCCTCCGGGAGGGGATGTGTTAATTTCTTCCTCCCTGCAGTCATTCAAGGGTGGGCCTGGTCAGGATGTTCCCTGAGAGCTAAACAAAGGTATTTCAGCTTACTGCTCATTACCTGGAAGGCGGGGTTCCCAGATACAGGCCGTCGTGGATAATTTAAGCTTATAGGCAACATCCCTTTAGTGATTAACTTGTAATAGAATTCAAAGGTTCTTCCCTATTACGTGCTCATTAAGGAGTCCAAGCCATGAAGGATTCCTTTCCTGTAAAATATGGTGCTGCCCACCAGACTTCTGGTCCTCCTCAGAAACCAGAGTGTCTTACAGACTTCCACTGCCTGTCACCTTGAAGACAGACTAAGTCCTTTGACTTCTTGGCCATTAAAACGTGAGCAGAAGTGACAGGTGTCAATTCAAGGCAGAGGCATTTGAGAGCTGGTGTGCAACCCTCCAGCTCCATTCACCTGGATTAGTTTCCTGTGGCTGCCATGAGAAATTACCACCACTGGGGGGCTTAAAACAACAAAAACTTAATCTCTCACAGTTTGGGAGGCTAAAAGTCCAAAATCAAGGTGTCAACAAGGCCATCTTTCTTCTGCTTCTTCAGAAGGCTCTAGGGAAGAAACTTTCCTTGATTCTTCCATGTTCTGGTGGTTGTTGGCAATCCTTGGGGCTCCTTGGTTTGTAGATGCATCACTCCAGTCTCTGCCTCCATCTTCACTTAGCCTTCTCTTTGTGTGTCTTTGTGTCCAAGTTCTTTCTCTTATAAGGACACCAGTCATTGGATTTAGGCCCACCCTAATTCGGTAGGACCTCGTCTTAAATTGATTACATCTGCAAAGCCCCTACTTCCAAATAGGGTCATGTTTACAGGTACTGTGGGGTAAGAACTTGAAAACAGCTTTCGGTGGGGACATAACTTAACCCATTACACCACCCTACACTGGCAATCCTGAAGCACGTGTTGAGATGGAGGCTTGGTCAGCCTGAGTCCCAGAGTGACTGTAATCAGAGGTTTGTATCTCCTAGTTTACCTCATTTCAGTCACATGTCCCCTGAGTAGAGTGGCAGGATGAATCAGCTGCCCCAGGTAAAGCATGTATCCCTCTAGTTTTTTGATGACTAAATTTGACTGATTCATGTAAATTAAATGTGTCCACACTGTATATCTCTTTCTTGTAACCCGTCTCCAGACTATCATCCATAGGATATATTCTCAGTGATCATCAGTTCCTAAGGGCCTGCCATATGCCTATGTGCCAAGAGGAGTGTGTGCTAAGGACACAAGGATCCTTATCCCAGTGAGTGTATAATGTAGTGAGCAAGATAGAGAAGACTATCAGTGTTGGCTGACGTTATCAGAGGACACCAAAGGAAGAGACTTATAAGAGGCAGTGCTTAACAGGGCTCCCAGTATGTTTTAAGGACTGTGCTAAGCACTTTAAGGTATTATAATCTTTAAACCCCATGGAGGTTGTATACCTTGAGGTTGGTTTTTCTTTTTAATCCATTTTACACCTAAGAAAACAGAGGCTTTAAAAGATTTAAGCAACTTGTCCACTTGTCACTGAGAATTCCAATCCAGGTCAGTCTGATTCACAAACCTGGGGTCTGTGGACTTTCCTGTACTGCCCCTTCAATTCAGCTGAGCCTTGATGGTCTGCTCGAACATGGGAGGCTACACTCCGAACTACACAAAGTTTGCTTCTCCTTCTGTAGTTATCCCACGGCTGCATTGATCATGTGGCACAATTAACAGTAAGGAAGAGAACAGAATAGTTAAACTACTCATTAATTTCTATTTCGGTAATGGCCTTCCTAGCTGATATTTATGAACTAATTAAACTCAACCTTTCATCTTTCTGAGATGGAACTAACTTTCAGACTTCAGTTTTCTAACTTGGCCATGGATGCAAAGATCTGTCATATCAGAGGCCTTCATTTCTCCTCTAAAGCATTAAAACAATTAAAAGAAACAGCAGGATCAAAAGAATCAATATGAAACCAAACCAACCCTATTGTTAAGTGTTTCCAACCTTGTTTCAAAACAGCCTTATGAGGATTGTTTTCCAAACAGCAGTGTATGAAGCCATCTACTTTTGAAAACTGATTTTCCTATGAATACGTATCCGGTTTTCTACGCTTGGAGAAGCAGGGAATACCCAAGCTGGCGTTCGGTAGTAACAAATATGAAATAGACCATTAAAAAAAAGTTGTAGGAATGTTAAAATCCTTGTTGACTGGTTTTTACGTTTACCCGGCAGCATTCCAATGCTAGCGTTGGCATGGAGACTGGAAAAGGAAACTTTCCACCAGTCTGTCACTTGCTACTGTTCCCACTTATTTTACCTTGGATCCAATTTTAACAGTTTTTTAAAACATTAAAAAATAGTTTGGATGCTTTTTTGCTTTCTCTTTCAAGACGTTTCTCAAACATAAAAACACGCATGAAAAAGCTTTTTCAAATCAGTCAAAGATCTAGTTGTCCAAATACTCAGCTGTTTTCATTCGGATAATTGCCTGTTTTGTTTTGTTTTGTTTTCCCGCGTTTAGTTTGAATGCTTTGCCATGGGAGAGCCCCACAGTCTGAAAGTAACTTTGTCCCTACTCTCCTCACTGCATTTATTACAGAGGCTGGAAGACGCATCTGCTTTTCAACAGTTTGTGGTCCTTTTGAGACCAGGGAAAGCTGAGGTTTCAGGAAGAAAGTTGGGCTTCCCAAAACTTGGTGGCAAGTTTGGTATGGTCACACCTAGGATTTCTTGAAATCAGTTTCGTTGAGGAAGAAGTCTGAGATTCTTGGAGCTAGGCTCGAGGTCACAGGTGGAAGGCAAATCTGTCACTGGTCCTCTCGTAGGTGGCCTAGAACCCAGTAGGCACTCAAGTCATGTTGACACAAATGAACGAATCCCAGTACCGCCGTATCGCATCTTGCAAAGACTGAAGGGTGAATATCTTGGGCTAGAAAGTAAAAGAGAGAGCTGCCTACCTAGAGCTTAAGGGGCCTCAGGCTGGCATCCGAAGCCTGGCGATCTCATTCCGCTTTGGCATCATTCTGAATTGCTTTGCCTGAAGCTGGCGCGATGTTAAAGAGAGAAAATGCATGCGAGGAAAATCAGAGAGCAGAGGGTCGGGAACAGATGTGAGCAGAAAGGAGCAGCATTTGAAATGAAAGAAAGAAATTGGACCCCCACAGCTGGAAGCACAGACCCCCTCAGTGTCGTCAGGGATGTGGGATAATTTTGCCAGTCTTCCATGTTCCCAGGGCGTTTGTTTGATGTCTTTTTTCTGTTCGATTACTGGACCCTAAGGACGGACCCAGGGTCGGTAGGTGACATACAAAAATGAACGAATTGAGCGGCTCTTATCACCTCCCTTGCTCCCCCCGCCCCGTGTGTCCACAGCGCCTAGCACGTAGTAGGCGCTCCCTAAACATCTGGAGAGCAAATGAGCTGCAAGTTTGCGGCGCTGAGCACGTGGAACTGGGGAAACCAGGACAGCAGAGGAGGTTGTCCCCGACCACAAAAGCCATGCGGGCGCGTGCGGAAGGCTGCGGCGGGCGCTGCCTGCGTGGCGCCCGGGGCGGGGGCGCGGGGGCCCGCGGCAGCACGTGCGCGGTGAGGACGCGGGCCGGGCCGGGCCGGGTGGGCGCGGGACGTGTGCCCGCGCCGTGGCCCCCGCGCGTGCGGCTGCCCGGG